GTATGTACTTATTTACCTGCCTGTGTCCTATCTCACGCGGCGCGCTGATTTGCCACCGCGTATCTGTCTTTCTCTTTGAACCCGAGCTTCTTCCGATCGTCGAGATAATGCTTGCTGTTTGAAGTACACTGGATGCATTGAAACCGTCATGTGTAATTTATCCCACGGCGGCGCACACAAACCTCTCGGAGCATGCTCATGCCGGTATGCATGGTAGACGTCCAGCGCGAAGGGAAACTCCCAATGCCGCATTGTCTTTGTTATTCTCGTAGCGGCTATGTAATCCACATTTCAATCATGCTCGTATGTACTTTCTGGGAACGTCGAAGGACGTCCGACGGCGAGGTAAGACATGCTTTTTCACGCACGAAGTGACGAACCAGTTCTCGAAAGCCCGCGTGGGTCACTATTGTCGGAAACAGACACGAAACGCAGATCGGGTGAACTTGAGATCCTGTGGTTTCACTACAATATTTTCAGTACAATTTGCAGTATAAATGTCGGCAACCATAACATTTCGTAAAGCCATCGAACCGTCTGCATTGCTGTCTATATAATGGAGGTTTGCCCTCGGTCTTGAGAACGGCTCTTGGTCGCGACAGGGGTCTTTTCAGGAAAATGGGCACTTCTTTACACGCTCCCGGGTGGCCGGTTAGATACCCTTCGATCGGGTGGAGGGTCAATTTGACCCCGCTGAGATCTCTGGAACTAAGAAAGCTAGAAACACCAAATTTACAGGGTGTGTTGACCTGTACGTGAACTCACTTAGGTCAAAGTTTCAGGTTCCTAGGTCATGACCTTTGGGCTCAAAAAGGTCAAACAAGGTCAAGCTCAAGGTCGGTTTCAGTGCCCCCAGAACCTAAATAGCCGTTTCTAAGCAAAAGGTCACATGTTCACTCAAGGTCGGTGACCTTATTTGACCTTTCAAAGGTCAAGGTGACAAAAACCATACAAGATTGTTTTGAGTTTTACATTTGACTCTACGACCAAGATTACACTAGGCAGTATGTTCCTAAAACAAAATGTTCACCTGAGTCATTTTAGGTCAGTGACCTATTCTGACCTCTAAGAAGTCCATGGAAGATGTATAATGCGGTTCCTGCTATCAATAAATTCTAAATGAGCACCAGAAACTATCCCATACAGCAAGCCCTGGGGTAACAAAACAGGTTGGTTTTGACCTTGGTGTGACCTTTATATCTGACCTTAGGTCAATGCCATTTGCTCATTCAACTGTTGTGTTGCCTAAGAAACCATCTCAGAAATGTATGGCTTCGTCCAACACTCCGTTGTTGGATCAGACTGAACGATTTCCTAGAAATTGCCTTCGCTGAAACCATGGCCTGACTTTGACTTGCCATAGGCCAGTGACCTTACAAGGTACATCTCAATTTTTGATGCCAAACGATCTGCTATCCAATTGTCTACATCTAGGCAAACTTTGGCGCGGCTACGCCGCGGCGTTCGGAAACCATTGTGGAAAAACCTTTGGGAGGGAGGGGGGTCAATTTGACCCCCTCCCCCACCCGAGCGCGTGTTAATCTGAAGATGGCCGTTAGCCTTCCGTATCGTGATGGAGCCCCCTGCCGTACCACAAACCCGTCCCAAGTTGTACACCACACAGGGAGGGGCATTCTCCCCGTCATTACAGTGACCTTCTGCCGCATGTTTGCCATGATCATTGGGTTTTGACGACTCGTCCTCATCTACTAACATGTAACGCGGGTTATGGAATCGACTTCCCACGAAAAGGGTTGCTGTACTTTGTAACACGCTTGTCAACAGAGAGCTTTTTGACGTCAGCGTCACTCGTGCCGATTGAGACTGTCAGTGACGTCACTGACATCAGTAACGTTACACATTTTTGACCATTTTGTCAACCCCTCCACCTGGCTACGCGCTGGTAACGCTGGGCGAAAAACCCCTCTCTGGTTACGTTGTGCGAAACGTATCATCCCGAAAAGAAGGCGCTCGCTTAGTTTGCATTTGAGCTGGAGGTGCAAAACAAAGACGGGATGCTTATCATGACGAGCACCATGACTGGTCACTTGGCATGACTTCATGCATGCAAAGAAGCCAGCGGTGTCCGGCTTAAGTTACACTTAAGTTACGCCCATCAAAACCCCGTGCTCCCCCTCCAAGCAAACCGCAATATGTGGGCGGTTCCGTTGCTGCTGTTGCTGACGAAAGTATTGGCTAGGAGCCAGGTTTGAGCCGCGGAAGTCATTGAGGCTTAACGACCTGCTCAGCTGCTGAAGCTATATGGCGTCGGCTGCCTCTCACCTTGGCAAGAAGGGCAGGCACCGCGGGGAATGGAACTCTGCACCTCTGATTTCCCAGATGCGCAGCCAACCACGAGGCTATGGGGACCCCAACCCTTAATTCCCCACGTTTCCGCGCGCGATCGTGAGGTGAACGCTCTCCGCTCGGATGAGCTGCCCCATCCACTGCAGGCCTGCTCCGTCCACTGTAGGGCTGCTCCGTCCACTGTAGGGCTGCTCCGTCCACTGTAGGGCTGCTCCGGCCTGCCCCGTCCACTGAAGGGCTGCTCCGTCCACTGTAGGGCTGCTCCGTCCACTGAAGGGCTGCCCCATCCACTGCAGGCCTGCTCCGTCCACTGTAGGGCTGCTTCGTCCACTGTAGGGCTGCTCCGTCCACTGAAGGGCTGCTCCGTCCACTGAAGGGCTGCTCCGTCCACTGCAGGCCTGCTCCGCCCACTGTAGGGCTGCTCCGTCCACTGAAGGGCTGCTCCGTCCACTGCAGGGCTGCTCCGTCCACTGTAGGCCTGCTCCGTCCACTGTTGCGGCTTGGGTCTCCATCTCACAGTATTACGGTGTTACGTTGTTGCTCACAGCCTAGTCTCCTGACCAGGCATGAGAGGACTGTCAGTCATTTGATGCTGCTAGGTGCATCGCACGATTCCACGGCAGCATCCTTTGAGGCAGGTTTTATGCATTGCCCGCTCACTTTTGTCGCCATCGAGTTGAACCCCGACGAAACCTGTGGTATTGTGTAGCTACGTCTCCATACTCATTAACTTTCCTTTATCGTTTGCCATGCCACCGCAGATTACACACACAGCAACACCGTCAGGAAGGGTCTCATTAACGTGCTCGTGACTTTGCATCTTTTAAAATTTACTATTGAAATGCAAGGACTAGTCAGTGACCAAGGCGCTATTTTAAGCTTCGTAAATGTTTCCAATACCCTGTCCAGTCTGAAGGCCAGGCTAAGGCCACCGTTGCCATAGTCACTGCTGATGCTGTTTTGCTTCAGTCACCCAAGAGATGTATTTTACGAACTAGCAAGTGGAGGAGGTAGCCAACTGTATGTGGCATAGCCAGATCCATACTGGATTTATGTTAGGATTTCGACCACTTTAATTTTCAGTAAAAGGTGTCATTAGAGATGATAGTTCTGTTATCGTTAATGTGTGTATGGAGCATCATTGCGGGGCACAATTTGGATATCATGCCAAATAGACCATCCAAGGCGTTAGTTGCGTAGCATAATGAGCTGATACATACGAAAAGCCTTTGTGGAGTGGTCATCCCGCTGCAGGCGTGTACACGGGGCAGAAACAGACTGACAGATGGCTTCCTATATGAAGTAGGTAACGGGTTGGGTAGAGAGTTTGGGAGAAGAAGGAGCGAGCACAAGCACGAGTGTGCGAAGGATGTCCACGAAACGTCGGGTCAATGCTCCAAGAAGAACCCTGGCTGCACGTTTTGTTTAGGTGGTTGCAACTGGTAACGAATGGGTTGCGGGTGGGCGTGGGCGCATTCACATAGATTGCAGGCAAATTGGGTAGTTTAGGTCTTACCTGCGAAGGCATCTAATTCTCCATGTTTCTAGAATGGAAAATGCAACTGGCTACAGACATAATGTAAATAGCCAAGTTAAAGTACAACACCATCCCCAGCAATCAGTATTGACTTAACGGACGGTAGGCTCATGCACTCAGGTCTTGTCCCATGTTCCAGCACGGATTTCCTCGTCTCCAAACTCATGAAAAATGACATTTGCCGCAACTGTTCGCCAGATGATCAATATTTGATCTGTGAGGTACATTAAGTATCCCATGTTTATCGCATAGCAGTAAGAATGAAAAACAGGGTCAATAGATTTTGCTTTTCAGCTTCTCCATGGCTGTCCTTAATGCCTGACGAAGTTGCAAAACCAGATGTATTGGCTTTTTCGGCTTTATTCCTATAGCATGGACATATGTCATACAACATGTCGCACAGGCAACAGGCCATTAACTAGGGTTGTCCTGGTCCATTTAGCTGGAGAGACTCTTGTTATGCTTTGTGCTGGAGAGGACGCTCTTGTTATGCTTTCTAATGATCAGATCCGGCAGAGCAGCTTGGTGTGGTCGCGCTCGCTCGATGGCCGCCAAACACTGACGCGGCGGAACGCCGATGTGCTGCCCTCTGACCCGACGGTCGGATCTGCCGTCGGTGCCGGCAGCTGCGTACTGTCCGTCGCCCCGGGACACCCGATACGGGGCCAGCTGGAGCCGGCTCTGCCGGCGCCGCGTCCGCGCCCGCACGCTGCCCAAACACCGGGGCCGCGACGGCCGGCCGGGCGGCGGACGCCAGACGCGCGGCCGCCGCGATGATCCCCCCCCCCCTCCCCCTCCCCCTACGCCGCCGCCGCCGCCGCCGCCGGCCCTGGAACGCAGCCGAGCGGAACGCCACGGCGCGCGAGCCTTGGCCACGTGCCGTGCGTCGCTGAGCAGCACCCGCGGCGGCGTGGAGCGGCAGGAGCTCGCGGGAGATGGCGGCTAGCGCACTCCGCTGCATGCAACGGCACGCCCGGAACATCGCGCGTTAGCATGTCCGGCCTCTGGCGGCGACAGCCGCAGCGCCCGAGTAGGGCCGCTACGGTCCTGCTCGAGACAGTGCCAAAACCACGTCGCGCGGTGGGCGCCGGTCGGTGGAACCTGTGTGAATGTGCATGTATCGAGCATATAACTCACCATTGGAAAACTTGGCTCA